ACAAACGAATATGAGCAATTATTAAACATTATTACCAGAGAATCAAGTTTTACAAGATATGGTATGAACTATTGAATAACACATTTCTTACGGATAGAAATTGATCTTCTTAAATGGATTCCCAAACCATCGAGCATGTATCTTACTCAATCAAATATGTACATAATCTATAAGAATAAGGATTTTAGTCTTGCAAATATGTTAATGGAGATATGCAAACTTGTGTTTCTTTTGATGACTCTGTCAGAATAATCATAGAAAACCCACTTGAATCCGTTTTTAGTAGTGGTATAATCAAAACCCTCAACCATCTTCACCACATCCACTCTTATATGGCTATAGGTGGATGCGTTGAAAATGGTTGAATACTTGAATATACCGATTTACTCCAGTTGTAACATATCCATTCATGTGAATTTTCTAAAAAATATTATAACTTAATTATACATCCTAGTTGACATATTTTTAGATCGTTGGAGAGCCTAATAAATATTGTGAAAAGGAGGTCTAGAAGAGAGGGTGGAATCCCGAAAGAGTACCAATCAGCTCTGAAATGTAGCAAAAACGTCGATGAGAGCATATGAAGGAGAAATATATTAATGTTGGGTCACTTTATTGATTTGGTGATAATCCAGTAATCTGTCCCACTATCCTATCAAGACTTAGTAGTTATTGGTTTCTTTGTATATTGGTTTCTTGGTACGTTCTTAAAAGCTTTTGGCAAAATCGAAGATAGAATGTGAAGACAGAAGGTCATCGATGCGGTACTGTGGATCAACTGTTTAAATTATACACCGAGACTCCAAAGTAGCTAATTTGAAGATTCAAAATGTTTTGAAGTTACTAGCTGATTGAAGGAAGATCTTCATGCATCGAGATTTGTAGGTAGTTGTTTGAAGCTACTAATCCATCCAAAGAAGATCTCCATACAGACTGACCATATCTCTGCAAAACTTGTATCTGATAAAGACATTTGTTATCAATAGGTTTGTCTTTATATGAACAGTGTTATGTGCACGTAGAGTACGATGAAAATGATATATCAACTATGGTCAAGTCAACCCTTTCCTCCTTATTCTAAGGTGATTAGTGTCTCCATGCATTTAATGCATGAGGGTAATATAAAAGGTAGAGTGCATCTCCCATGCAAACTATTCCTTGAAAGAGTTTCTAAATGCATTCTCAAGACAATCGGCTCTATTCTACTACTCTCCTACTATCATGTGTGTGAAGAAAACCTTAGTGTTCTTCAATTCTTTGCAAGTACTCTATGTGTTGTTCTTGTAAGTTTTTCTCTATGTAAGACTGTTTAGATTAGGTTAACCTTTCCTTCTTCCACAACAATTTGTATTGTATTTCTATGTATTAATTCTTGATACTCATCAATAAGAATTAAAAAGTAAAAAAAATATATTCTGTTTATTTCCATCCCATTCGGTACCAACAATTAAGTTGACATAGGTTAAAGATCGTTGATTGCTTATCAACTATCTTATTGCTAAACTAATCAACATCCTGAGCTACTAAAAATACTTATCCTCCATATATTCTTCATGCTACATCAATGTTTCTACATTTTGTAGCATATTAGGACAACCTTTGCAGGACGGTTGTTTTACGTTTAAAAATCGTTCTTAAAATACTTTTAAGAAGATAACAATACAGAAGTTGGATTCCTTAGTTAAGGTTATAACACAACCAAACAAGCAAAAAAACAAAGAGATAGGGAAGAGAGATACACATGAATTTACAGAGGTTCACTCAAAAACCGGGTTAATCCTCTTTGTTGAATGAACTCAGTGACACGACTCACTATGTTGTTCTTTTAAGGTAAAAACACACATCATATGAATATTTGATTACATACGATTTAAATACTAGAAAAATGAACTCTCAAGCCTTAGCTGTTATTTCACAGATGACTTTTTTTAATTTTCACAAACCAAAATTTTGAAATCAGAGAAAACAGTAAAACTCCAGGATTTAAATGTTTGAATCTTTACACTAAAAAAAGTTGTTTGACTAAAATCTCTTCTCCCTGCATGTAGTAAAAGCTAAAAGGATTTAAAGTCTTGGTAAGAGTTTTTATAAAAATAACACCTAGGGGTTGTTTATCAAACACTTATATGGTAAGTGTTTACGGGTTAAATTTAACACTATTAGTTACTTATTGAGTAAGATTTTAAACCGCCAAAATGACATTGTATGCAACAATTTTACCCGATAATCACTTACCATGTTAAAAGTCGTCACCTTCACTTACCTAGTAAGACTCTTGGTCTTTGTCTCGCTCTTGCTAGGAAAGATTCTTGCTCCTTACCATATTCATTCGGTAAGGTAGCGTGACTTGGTAAAAGCCGGGTAAATGTTTGTATCAATTTATACGTCTTTAATGTATATAATTATTTATATTATATTAATTAATTAATTTAGTTTCTAAATTATTAAAAATGCTAATTTAAATTATTAATTAATATATTAATTTATTTTAAAATATTATTATTAATTAATTAATTTCTAGGAGAAGATGTTTATAATAAATTATTAAATTAAGTAATAATAATATTCTAAAATAAATTAATATATTAATTAATAATTTAAATTAACATATTCATTAATTTAGAAACTAAATTAATTAATATAATCTAAATAATTATATATATTTATATCTTAATCAACTTAAACCCAAAATAAATAAAATAACCAATATAAATTTGGGTTCCCATTTAAATAAATATTATGGCACAAACAATAATAAAATAACAAGCCTAACATCCAGAAAAACGGTCCATAAGGGGGAAAGGCTCAGCCCAACATGCCTGCGTTCCATGCGGTGATGTTTAACACCATGGGAAAACAGGCTATTTGGCCTCATTTCTTCGTCGTTTTTTTGCATAGAAACAAAAATCAACAATAATCATCAAGTATTAAGTCCCATTTTCTCATTTAAATTTTCAGTGTAAAAACCATTCGAAAATCAGTAAAAAAAAAAACTCAAAACCAGACCTTCAAACCTAAGATATGAGACATTGAGACATAAGGATACTAAAGTACGATAAAAAAAACTTAAAATGAAGCTAACTACACAAAGAACTTGAAATTTGGTTGGAACAAAATTGATTAGGCTCTCTTGCACTATTACTGAGTTTGAATCGAGTTCATATTGAATGCTTACCGGTTACATACCCAATCGAGGGCCCCCACTCTTCTTGTTGTCGCTACCACCATCGACCGAGCACGTATCAAACTCTTTCAAGCTCCAACGAGTATGTACTGAAGACTATTGAGTTTTATTCATATTGAACTTAATTATACATTTCAAACTGTTATCTATCTTCTATCGACCATCATCGAATACATACATACATTCATTAATTATGAGTCCAAAAAACAATCCCATTAATGGTAATTACATACTATTTAAAGAAAAACATTATCTAATGAATAACAGATACATTGTCAAAATACGAATAGGAGGTGTTTCATTGAAGGGGTTTTAGGGTTCGAAGTTTTAGAGTGAGAAACAAAGAACACAAACGTTGGGTTCTCAGATGGGTTCCATATGATGTTAATCACGTGTGTCTAAAGTAATATCGTTATTGCACATAATGATTATTAGTTGTGAGTATTCAAAAAAAGTGAAATAAGTTGGTTTTTATTTTATTTTATGATATTTATAATCAGAATAATCAAATATGCAAAAACAAGATCTTGTTGAACGTGCGTTTTGAAAGAGTTTATGTAACACTGAATCATTAGAATCATAACAAAGGTGAACTGCAAACATGCAATTTTACCTTTTGATTTGATAAATTATGTTAAAAATTGATTATCATCAAACTAGAAGGGTACTCGTGCAATGCATCGAGACACATCCCGATTTCAACGTTTCATTTTATTCTTTATCAACATCGATATAATACAGTTTTATGTGGTTTTGAGAAACGATAGTATTTTTATTTTTAAATAAAATATCATAAAAATTTGAAAAAACTATATTAATATTAGTATCAAATTAACTATTTAAATTTTTTTGTTTTGTGTAATTTCTTTAATTCAAATTTTTATTATAATTTAATTTAATGTAACGAAGTAATTTAATTTAGGGTTAATTATATAATTCTTTATAAAGATAATAATTAAGTATTCTGTTAAAACTTAATGATTATCTTAATTATATTTTAGATTTTTAATATTTAAAATGAGATATTTATCCTGTATTTGATTATGTTTATCTGTAGTTAGTTATATAAGTTCAAATATGGAGCTTTAATAAGTTATACTTACGCACAATTTATATATAATATTGAATTTTAAGTAATATGTATCAATAAATAGTACTTTATAAAAAAATATTTTTTTTTATTTTTTTTATCAAATGTTATAGATAATTATAAACAAAATATCTTCAAAAAAATAGTTATACGAAAGAGAGTTGGAGTTGGTAGGCTTTACCCTTTTTGACATTTATTTGAATAAACTACAAATTTAGTCCCTATGGTTTGTAAAAAGTAACATTTTTCGTCATTTTAGTTTTGAAATCACAAGATGAATATCCCGCTTTGTAAAAATGTTCAACTTTAGTTTCTTCCTCTAATGACAGTTAGCATATTTCATCAAATGAAGGAAATTTTTATCATTTTAACTATTTTTTTTATCTTTTATTCAATCAAAATTAATTTTATGATCTAGTCTCTATTGTTTTTTATTGGATAAAATGATGAAAGAAATTGAACAGAGAACGAAAACGCCCTCGTTTAAATGGAATCCTTAACCGCCTTTAGAAAAAGGGATTAATCCAGAAGTTTTGTAAACTATAATAATCATCTTATAATTTTGAAACTAGAGGGATGAAAAATATAATTTTTGACAAACCACAGGGACCGAATTTGTAGTTTACTCTATTTATTTTTTATTTGTTTTTATTTTATTTGGAATCCTAAGAGCTGGTGCTAATTGAGACCGGAGGAGACTTCAAAGCATCCTTCGTTACACACACTTTGTTCCATTTCAAGCATTTTTCCAATAGACAAGAATCGGTAGTCATGTTTGCCAAGAAACTCTTACACAAAGCTACCAAGCTTCATAATCTGCATCATCATCAGGTACGCCTTCTCGGCAGTATGTTATTTTGATAATCGATCATTGATTTGGACGATGATGATCTAGTTAAGCTTATAAACGAGTTATTGAATTTGCAAATTTTAATTTGATTGGAGATTTTTGTTGTGTTTTGGTTTGTAAGCATAGTGTGAATCTGGTTATTGCTAATTGTTGAACTGTTTAGATGACTGTTTCTTGGACTGTAATTTTTTGTATATGCCGAATTAGCACTACGTCCGTCTAATGGAGTGTGGTTTAATTTGGTACTTGTTAGCAATATTGTTATGAACTCAAAGCCTAATAGTATCTACATTGTAGAATTTTGTAGGAAGGTTGAGGTGTTATCACGATTTTCTAAAACATAAACCCAATTTATTTTTTTAAAGGATAATGCATCAATTTTGAAGTGGAAGAAGTTAAGTCATAATTATGTAAGTTTTCTGGAGGGAGGGAGTACTTATGCTCCGACACTAGAAGACAATTTTTCTAATTTGAAAGTTCACTAATTTAGTAATTAGTACTATCTAGTTTCCTAAAAAAGAAGGTTGCATCAATTTTGAGGTGGAAACTTAAGTCAAAATCCTGTAGGTTTTCTGGATGGAGGGAGAACTTATGCTCCAACACTAGAAGACAATTTTCCAATTTCACTGATTTGGTATTATCTAGTTTCCTGAAAAAGAAGGCAAAGAGAATGAATCACAACAAAATTTAAGTTTATACTCTGTCCAATGAAAACTGTCACGTTTACCTGCTATATAGTTAAGTATTTCCCTTTCAGTAAAGACAAAGTCCCAAAATAAAGGAACTTTGTGGACCAAATTTAGGGCCTGTTTGCTAGCAGCTTAATGAGCTTAATAGGACTCTCAACTTATTCGGTCAACTATACATATTGTTTGGTAGTGGCTTAATGATTTAGGAAGTGGCTTATTTAGTAAGCTTTTAGGGGGAGTTTTATGCAGAAAGTCAAGTTTTTTCCAAACCTACCTCTCCCAAATGAAAAACCCACTTCTTCTATCTATGGAAAAACCTTCCCGATCTATACAAACAGATTAATCCACGCAAACAACTTTATTTATACAGCACTTAATAAAAAATCAACCACACAGCCCCTTAATGGCTTTAGTAAATTGTAATGATGACAATTTCAAGATGAGTAATTATGACTTGAAAGTGCAGAAAGAAAAAAATGTATTAATTTTCACGGGAAATCCCCAAAGAGTTGTTGCAATTCTCATGGCAGGGAGGAAGTATGATTTATGTTGATTGATCAAACACAATGGGCAATAAAGAAATTTAGGACCCCAATAGGAAACGTTCTTGAAACTGGGAGACTATGTTGGAAGTATCTTCTCTTTTCCTATTTATGTTTTTAGTATATGCTGTAAAGGTTATAGTGTGATTACCAAAGTTTTTGAGAAGTTAAACAAATATTGATATTAAGTTTAGTATTAGTTTATTCGACCTCAAGAGTCAAAGCTCTTCTTATTTTAGACTAGACGAATAGATTTTATTACTTCATAGTATAAATTATGGGGTTTGACTACAAAAAGTTGGACTTCAAGTACTTTAGATGTATTGACATTGACTATTCATCAGCTTCACCATTGACTGATATTTTTCAATTTTAAATCATGTGGGGGAGAAAGAATCCAAAATTGATATCACATTGATGTTTCTTTCTGTTGTTTAAACTTCAAAACATCTGCTCTCTATTCAAACCTGTAACATATTATGTTGTTAGTCTCCCTTTTCGCTCAATTTATGTCGTAGTATTGTCTGTTCGTCACTAGCATCACTTATGGTGCAGCAATATTTTCTCATTTCTCTTTTCTTTCTTTCTTTAATTTTTCCCTGTGAAATGGAAGTGAATTAATGTACTTTTTTTTCATTATCTCTTGTGGTCTAGCATAACTTAAAGGGCTGCCTCACTCCAGAAGATTTGGATTTTCGGATAGCAGTCCATTACGGTATCCCATCTACTGCATCAGTTCTTGCCTTTGATCCCATTCAGCGTTTACTTGCCATTGGGACATTGTAAGTTGTTTGATAGTCATCCTTCATAAATATAATAGATGGAATTATTGTTGGGGTATGCTATGTGTGATTTTGTATGCGAGACGGGATGGAATGCTTGTTTTACCCCAATGAAGGTTACAATCATCGTCAGAAAAATTTACACGTACATATCTCCTCAACATAGTAGCAGCACCATATAAGCGCTTCTTCCTATTCATGCAACCTTGTTGTGATTTGTTATTTATTATCTATTGATCCCTTTCAACCTCACTAATTAAGCTCTAAAGTTGAAATAAGCATACTCTTCTTTATAAGCATTACGTGCGTAAAATTTATATAAAGAAATACACACACACACATACATAATACATCTATACAAGATGCACATATATATGTATATGTATGCGATAGTCATTAATTTACATCTATTGTGCAACCTTAGTAGGATTTTAGCATGCACAGGTACACAAAACAATATATATACATATTCAGACATATACGTTGAAATCAATAATAACATGTTCCCTATGAGACCTTGGGGCTGTGTCTCTGCATTAAAAAAAATCTCTTAACTTTAGAGAGAAAGGCTTGTACTATATAGCGGCAATGTGGGGTGGGTTGGAGGTGGATAAGCACAAATACTGCAGCCCCTCCATAGGTGGTATTAGAGGGCACAAACCATTTAGTCCTATTACCTTAACCCATCAGGTTTTTTTCATGCGGGAAACAGATATTCAAATCAAATCAATTAAGCGAAGATTAGAACAAAAAGTTTTACCAAATCAAAATTTAAGCGAAGATTTCTCAAATGTCTTTGTTAGGGGCCTTCATGGAAGCAATATCTCTACTCCTCGGGGTGGATGTAAGGTCTGTAGATATCCTACCCTCACCAGGCCCTACTTTCTGTGGGATTTACCACGTTGGTCTGGTTTGGTTTTTCTCATGTCTTTAAAGCAAATTTTTTATCCAAAGTTCCCATATGTTTCAAAACAGGTTCGTAGCTTGAATATACATGCATGATTTTCACTTTCTTATTTCTCCAAACAAATCAAATCAGTTCTCAATCTATTTACATACCAGTTGAAATGCCTTATCGGATCAAAGCAAATATGAACAAAGTTCATGCACTTACGAGGATTTTCCTTCTCAGAACTTGTTGGAACTTTTTGAATACTATTAGAAATTACGTATAACCCAAATATGTCAAAAGACACACATCGACCATAGAAATCAAAATGGTATTAAATGGAGTTGCACAAATCGACATTCACAACCTATAGAGCATGCTAACATAAAAACACAATTAGTTTGATATGAATCATATAGAGTAATGCTGAAAAAATCATGGTAACCCGTACTTGAATCGAAGTCTAAATGCTGCTAAGCCTGAAAGATCCATCATACGCTCTCAAACAAATCTAATCTTTACAATAATATGGAAATATTAGTTATAGATAATACTATATAGTTTTATCTTTTATTAAACCAAACCAAACCAAACAAACCCAATCTTGTTCACAGGGGTGTGTGTGTCTTGGGGGGGGGGGGTTAGGATATACGTAGACCTTTCCTCCACCTAAGGGGTGGAGACCCAGCTTGCAATTCAAATCCAAAAGGAAACAAGCGTGCAAGAAACAGATGGAAAAAGTAGCCAGAATGTGTGTAAATAGGCAACATAACAGGTACAGAAAAGGCAACAAGAACAAACAGGTGAAAACAATCAAGAAGACACAAAATGCAGAATTGATAACTACTAAGACAAGATCCCCTCCTTCTATCCATCTTATGGAGTTGCTAGCCTATTTGGCGGGTCGTTAGCCCTTCCCCAGTCTACACCAACTATTTGACCTTCTTTAAAATCCGCTACCCTGTTCCCGTGTCTCCAAGAATTTCTATTAGCGGCCTTGTCCTTGGAAAGGTCTAAGGTCGCCATGTCCCACAGCCTGACTCAGCTGCTCGTCCTAAGTCCTCATCGGCCTGCCCTTCTTCTTACCCCTCGACTGTCACGCTCTCCAGCCTTCACCAATTACGACATCTGTCTCCTCTTAGTGTGGCCGGCAATCGTCCCACTCATTTTATTCGTGATAGGTGCTACTACTAGCTCTGCTCTGAAAATGTTGCTCAATATTCTGTTGAACATGGTCGGACTAGAGGCTTCCTCATTTCTGCAAATTCCACCTTCCTCTCATAACTTTTTCCGGGCAACACTAGGAGTCGAACAACAAAGCTGGTCTAATATCTATTGTGTAGAATTTTCTATTTAGCTTTAACGGGATCTTTTTGTTGCACAAGACTCCCTTGACAGCCCTCCACTTTAACCACCCGCCTTTATGCAGTGTGTAACTTCTTCTTCAACATCTCCCTCCTTTTGAATCATGGAGCCTAAATCTTTTATTATTATTAGTAACATTATCATCATTTTTATTATTTCTATTCATTTATTTGAAGGCACTCGGGCACTTTTTGTTCAATAAGGAATGGATGTTTTAATCTTCTAATATCTTATATCTTGATGACATATCCTTTATACTTTCTCTTAGGGCTCGTTTGGTTTGCAGGATTTAGTAGGATTTGGAATTGAATTCCGTTCCGATCCTATGTTTGGTTTGGAAGAAAGTTTGGATTCGAAATACCGCTCAACCTGAAGGATTTAGAAATCCCATGGGGGTACTTGGTATTTCAAGGGATTTCATAGGATTTGTTTGTAATAGTGTTCTAAAATATGTTAAAAACATTTGTTTTGTAATAATCAATTAAAGGTAATTTAATTGTTTTTATAATTATTTATACTTTATTTTCATAAATTATCTATAAGAAATGGAATTCAATTCCATTCCTAATCGTACAAACCAAATACACCAAAGATTCCAGATCCTTCCACGAAATCCATATCCCTCAAAAACATTCCGGCAAACCAAATGCCCCCTTAGGCAATTTAGTAATATAAGAATTCTTATAGGCATCTTCTAAACATTCTATCATGGTTGCATAAATTCTTAAGGAGTCTATAGAACATTCTATCACTTTCATTCATTATACATGCTTGAACATTTTCCATAGAAATGAACTAAAATCATACTCATAAGTACAAAAAATATAAATCTTTAATTCATAAATAATATAAAAAGTGCTTTCTAATACAAACCACTAACACCAACAACTCTCAACAAATAAATAAGCTACCAATATTCTTAAAGACAAGATAACATATCGAACACCCTCACCAATAAATAACAAATAGAAAGGGTATCACAATCTATTAGGGCCTTATATGCGCACACAATTAGCGACACGTGGTAGAGATAGTAAGATCAATATTCTAGGTGTTGCAGGAAGATTGTACCCTATTTCGAATCACTTTTGTTTCCAAAAAAAAGTATTGTGTTATCGATAACCAATTACAAGTAAACTAGATATTGGAGATATGGTCTCATGTAAAACATTATATGTAGAGATTGCTTTCCAATAAGGCAACAACTCTCCATTCTGATACTAAATACTATGAGATAAGATTTTTACATGGCAGTAACCCGAATTTTGATGAAATGAATATTCTCTATGAAGTATTAATACGGATTAGTAGACATATGGAGCAACTTGTTCTTATATATAACGAATGAGAAATACAACTCCCTTTAGTAATTAGGTTTCTAATTAATTTTGTGCAGGGATGGCAGGATAAAAGTGATTGGTGGTGATAACGTCGAAGGACTCCTAATTTCTCCTAAGCAATTACCTTTCAAGTATATGGAGGTTTGTTTGTATTATATAAAAATGATCATGTTACTGATTAATGTTATGCGTTCATAAAATGAAAACCTAGAGGGGGTGAATAAGTTTCAATACCTTTTACATGTAAGGTTTTTTGTTTCCAAAAGCGTAAATGCAAGATTAACAATTGAGTGCACAATGCAATTCAACATACAGAAAAATAAAATGTCGAAGGGATAGACGAATTGCAACGTGATTTTAAGGTGGTTTGAACCCCTTGTCCTCCTGCTCCACTTTCCTTGAGGCTATTTCACTAGATAACTTTGCTCTTTAATGGTAGAAATAAAAACGGTTATATGCAAGAGCACTCTCTCACAATAATTGGAATTGATGGTGCATTGTCAACTATAATCTAGTGAAAAACCTAACAAGATAATTAATTCACTATCGCAATATTTCAAGTATGCTCCAATGATCATCATTGTCGTACACAAGAATAAGTGTTAATTGCTAAAATGTTTTCGTCAAGGTGTATGGAAAAACCTCCACAATATCATGTTTTTTCTCTCAAAATTCACACTTTCTAAGTTCCCAAACCCTCATTTTATAGTTCAAAGATACAACTTTAAAAGTCTGAACACAGAAGTCCACGTGAAACGTATGTGGGATGTTCACATTGAAAAAGACAATTTCTTATACTTTTTGCCTGTTTGAAAACATTGCAAGTTCAAAGAAAAAGTGAACCTGGAAGTTTGCATGGAACCATGTGGACATCCGGATCTGCATATGCAAAAATACTTTTTCAAGTCGCACCAAAATGGCAAGAAGTTTTTTGGGTTTAATAGTTTGAGAATTTGGTTTCCATTTCAAACTTTTTAAGATCTTGGATTTTTGAAAATATTTTATGAATATCATTGGCTAAAAATGATGGTGATCACTGTCAATTTTAATTGGAAATAACAACTCACGTTAGACCAAGATCACTTGAATCTACTTGTTCATCTCAATACACAAAGTGATGCTTGAGAGTTCGAGATTTTTTGGAACATCTTCAATTAAATATTTTAGAACTCACCAACACTTGGTAGCAAGCTCGTTAGTACAAAAGGAACATGCTTGTCAATCATCAAAACACGAGGTCAACATTTGCACCAACATGTTCTTTCCATTCTTTTTCCCTGTGCAAGATACTATGGATGTTTGCCATTGAAGGATATGGAACACAAAAATATTTTTAGGAAGATTTGGATGTAAATATATTCGCTTACATGAGAAAGACAATAAAGATTTAACTTTTTGAAGTATATAATATTTATATATGGCAACTACTCACGCACACTCCTCACGTTTGGTGAGGTTTGAACCCTTGACCTCCTCGGAGGTTGACTGGTTTCCGCTACCCGCTAGACTAATGACCCTTGGGTAAAAAAAAAGGACTTTTTGGTGGAAGTAACATCCAACAAAGAGCATATGATTTTTAATTTCGGACATTACTAAATACATAGCAGGCCACCCAGGATTTTTGCTTAGTGGTGCACAAAAGAAATACCATAATATAAAAAATTATAAGCACGATTTTATTAAAAAAGATAAACAAGTATTTATATAACAAAAAAAATTCGAATGGTGCACTATTAGACTATAAGGTTGAAAGCTATAGAAATTTTTCATAAATATCATGGTAGAGTAGTTGGTTTGTTGCTTTCTTTTGATAGGGAAGTTTACTGGCCCCGGGCCTTTGCTTCATTTTTTCACAAAAGTATTAGAGTATGAAATTTAAAAAGTGAAAAACTGGGTTTCACTAAAACTAAGAATCGAGCCCATGATGTCTTAAACAGCAAGCACTAACTCAGCCATCTCAGCTATTCGGATTTCTCTTATGAGTTTGGTTTTAAACCATGTAAGGGAAACCCTCAAAATTAAGCGGGTGCACCTTTAAGGCCCTAAAACTTTTCCATTACGACAAGACGATTAAGCGGTATCCCATGCATCCCCTACCCCCTTAGTAGGTCCTTGACTAAATACCGTGATAGCGTTGAAGAGAATGCTAAGTAAAAAAGCAGAGTCTTAGAAAGTTAAAAAAGCATGGTTTTCAAGACAATGCAATGACCATCCTCGAATTCTATCCTCTAAAGCATGAAGATGATCATAATCATGGCTAACATTGGAAAAGTGGATTCTCTCATAGACTCATCAAAAAAGGTTATTACAATTATAAGTTCTTGTGCACCATCAAGTGGATTGGCAAGTCATGTCCAGCATCCTACAATCTTTTCTTCTTTAGCATTTGCTAAGTCTTTACACAGAACAATTTTGTCAACACAGACCAAGTCCTCAGAGCTGTAACTATATCTTACTCTTTGAATATAGGTGGATGAGTAGTAGGTATTTTGTTGTCCGGTAGCTTCAAAGCTATTGCTTGGACTTTAGGTTTGAATCTCCATAGACAACTGATAACTTGACTAAAGACATGAAGTAACCTAGAAAATCGAGCATGCTCACTAGTCACAACTGCCTTGGGTAGCTTGTAATTTGGAGTGATCATTTTAAATGTTGATTAGGTGGTTGGCTTGGCAAATGGATGGCAGCATCGGGATAGTAGTTCATTTTTATTGTTTTCCTCTTGCAGTTTCTATCCAACAAAGGTTTTCTAGTCAGCATCTCCAATGACAATGACATACAGGTAGCAACTAGCTCCTTATTTTCCATTTTTGACAATACACTGGTAGCTACCAAAACCAGCTATTTGAGTTCATACGTTATTGTAATCTGAGTTAAGCAGGAAAACTCCATTCACATCTCTGCTGACTACTTTTCAAATTCATTCCCATGCTTACTAACAGCACAATTAATTTTGAGTTGTTGATCAGAGACAGATTGTTGTGATACTTATCCTTACTTCATATTGACATGGTTTCTTATTATATTTACAAAATGGATTTGTGTTTTATGCACCTTTGGTTTGTGATGTTAGTATGGGCATCTGAATAACTGATTGTTCTATGCTTCAGTCACAGTCTATTAAGGCTTTTGGTTTTGGTACATGGGTTGTGGTGCGGGGTCAGTCTCATAATAACGGTTTTAAATGTTCACAACCTTCTTTTCATGACTTGATGCTATTTTGCAGGTGTGGAATCTGGAAAATAGGTCTATAGTTTCTAGTTTGCGATGGAGCTCCAACATAACAAGTTTCTCTGTGATATGTGGCTCCTTCTTCATGTATATAAATCTAACTACACAATGCTATTGGCTGTAAAGTTGCTGACAGCTGATGTATGGTGCATTAACTGGTTAGTCTGTTACTATCTACAGGTACATTGGAGATGAGCACGGGTTGATGTCTGTTTTGAAGCTCGAGGAGGAGGCAGAGCTGTTGGTAATGCCATATCACATTTCCGCCAAATCCCTTACTGGTAATATTCTATGCATTAAATAATTGATGCTTAGTGAGTCTATCATCTCTTACCTTCTAGAACTATTTGTTTTAAATCATAAATTTAATAAAGACACTGTTTCATGATGAAACAAGTACTTGCTAGATAACCTTGTTTTTGAAGTGGACAAAAGTTTTTAAATAGAATCTTGGTTTGTGCTAGAAAAGTGAACTTTAGTGTCTAAGATGCAGCTCTTTTTTGTTTACTAGCAACTTATGTCATGCTTTCTTTAGATGATCATCCCTTCCTCTAGACAAGCTGCATGTGCATTTGCACAAGCAAATGTGGGGAGATGTGGCATATAAATTATTACCTATAAATGTGTTTCCTGGTATTTCCAGTTGCACAATTCAGTGCATGGTAACTCAATTATATGTTACATATAGATTCTGAAGTTGGCAACATAAATGAGATGCAAGAAAAACCTGTCTGGTCATATAGCTTTTAGATATCACAATTGAACCTATCTGAAAATAAAATTATGACGAAAATTCTTTTTTAAGAGGACGGCACCTCCGGCGAAGTTTTATTCTTAAAAAGAAAAATTACAACCTAAGGTGGGACTCCCACCAACGAGCAAGTCCTTTTGATTGTCTGAGACAGGTCCCATCTATCAAACAGGAGAGCATTACGATAAAAGCTAGCTAGATGGGTGGAACAGGCTCCAAACCATGAAAAGCCAAAACAAAAGGTATGCTAAGCAACTAGCTAGTAAGGTTGGAACAGGCTCTACACCATACAGTAGTAAAGCAAAACCAAGAGCTAGCAATGCTATTAAACTGCTACTAGAAACAAGTCTTCAAGTGCCGCAAGCCTTGCCCTTGGTCTTCCTTCTTGCTGTTTCCAAGGGGATCCTCCACAAGTCCATCTGTTTGGTGGCAGCCATGTAGTTAAGAGCGAACCCGACGAGCTTCAGTGTAGCATGTTCTGTACCATTTGAGCCACCGTTTCTGTGGGTCTTGGGTCTTTATGGAATATACATGCATTACACTCCCCAAATATTTTCTTACAGATCTTAGATTAATGTTAAATAGTGGTCAAACAATGAATTTTCATGACAAGTGACTCCCTCTCATTGATACATGCAGTCTGGGGTGCTCTTTTTGCTATGCACTTATGTAATCGAACTTTGATAATGATAGGTTAGAATGAAATAAAGTTGTGCTTCTGCGAAGTTATGTTTGATATTTCTGTATGAATTTGGTAACTTAAATATGAGTTTTCCCTCTTCTTTTTATTGCATTACAATAGTGTCTATTCCTATTTACTCCACAGAAGCAGCTGGGTCATCATTTCCGGATCATTGGACTGTTGTTGGAGTTCTTCATCAACCTAGTTCTTCTGGGAATAGGCAAGATACAAGTATTGCTTGAAGTTCTCTTCTTTATATTCTGCCATATTTACTTTGAATGAAACCTTTTTTCCAAGCGCGCACTGATTTACATATGGCCTAAATAATTTGTTGGGGATTTGGCTGAAGATTTAACAGATTCTGACACAGGTGAATTATATAACTAGGTTACTAATATTTTTGTTTCTCTGGAAGAACTGAAAGCAAACTTTCACTTCTTTCAACAAATATTATTTCTATCACAGATTGAATTATACTCTCAAGACATTTTTTTTCTTAAGTACCTAAAAACTACTCTTCTTAAGCCTTAGCAACTATGATGTGCGAAACCAGTATTATTGCTTCTTGAAGCGAATCTCATTATGTGAACCAATCTTATATTGGGCTATGTGAGACAAACTATGGATGATCGGATAACCTTCTAGTGAGTGTTTAAGCAGATAATGAACAAAGGCTTTCTTTTGCATCTTTAACCTTTTGTAAGGATATGTTTGGAATAAAGTCTCAATGTGAAAGAGGTTTCAAGGAAATTTTTTAGATTTTCATACTTCTCCGTTATGAGAATGCTATATAAAAGCAATCACAATAATACCAATGAAGAGATGAAACAAAAATTGATGCTGCATCAAGTCAACAACCCTTTTAGATGTTTCATATACCCCCAAAGTTAAATATGGTGTTCAGAATATTCAGTTAAGATGGTATGTAATCTAGATCCAACATGATAATCATATAATAACATATGCACATAACTACGATGGACATTATGTGCTTGTTCTATCAGCTAAGTTTTAGGCACCCATGATTTGTAAAGGGTGAAAAGGGGAGAGAAAAATAGAAGGTTTAGATGTTGATGAGAAATCACTAAAAGATGAACATTGATGAAGCTTGTCTTGGTGATAAATATCTGATTGCTTGTTCTGTTGCAGAGTTTTGATTGCATATGAGAGTGGGTTGATTGTTCTTTGGGATGTTTTTGAAGCTCAAGTGGTTGTAGTTAGAGGTGATAAGGTTCTTGAACTGAAGGATGGAGTTGATGATTCTCCTGGTCAAGTTGGTCATCTTTTAGATGCTACACCTGAACACAGTTTGGAGGAGAATGAGATAACCGCTCTTTGTTGGGCATCTTCTAATGGGACCATTCTTGCTGTTGGATACATAAATGGAGATATTATGTTCTGGAAGACATCAACTACTGCCTCTAGTAAAGGCCGAAAAGCTGGAGCATCATTCAATAATGTTGTAAGGCTACAGTTGTCCTCTGCTGAAAGGAAGCTCCCTGTCATTGTCTTGCATTGGTCCGCAAACAGTAAATCCCAGAATGATGGTGATGGCCAATTGTTTGTTTATGGAGGTGATGAAATAGGGTCAGATGAAGTATTAACGGTGAGTTCAACAGATTAGTATAAAATCCATAGTGTCCATTGCACTTCATCTGATCTAACATCCTAAATAAATGTGTTTGTGTGTGTATACTTACATAAATACGCTTCCAAGTTGGTTAGCTGTATGCTTGCATTATGATGACAAACTTTAGTCATTCCACCAGATAATACACTGCCAACTTGAAAGATTTCCATGTGTTAAACTTACCTGCTTGATATATTTGATCATGTAAAACTAAAACCACAATATTCTAAAGTAAGTCGATTAAATAAGTTATGTATTCATTTTTTCCAAAGCACTAGTAAGGGGCTGTTTGGTTGGTTTTCCATTAAATCATGTATGGATAAAGTTGTCTGTGTGGATTAATCTATCTGTATAGGTTGGGAGGGTTTTTGTTTGGGAGGGTTTTTTCATAGATGAAAGGAGTGTGCTTTTTAATTGGGAGGGGCATGTTTGGAGAAGAACTAGACTTTCTGCTTAAAGCTCCCAAGCCATTTTCTATATCATTAAACCACTATCAAACAGTCATGTATAGCTCACCGAATAAGCGTCATTCCTATTGTGCTCATTAAGATGCTAACAAACAGACCCTAAGTGTTTTAATTTATTCGTAATGGCCGGCCATTATTATCAATATAAAGCAGTGGACTCTGTAGGAGAATTCATTAGTTGGTCTTCTATGGATGTAACAGGTTTTGAGTCTTGAATGGAGCCCTGGAATGGAAACTCTAAGATGTGTTGGTCGTGCTGAGCTCGCTCTTAGTGGCTCCTTTGCTGATATGAGTTTATTACCAAGTGCAATAAACAATCATCGAGCTGATTTATTAGTACTGACAAGCCCAGGACATCTGCAATTGTTCAGTCATGATAGTTTGTCTGCCTTGATGTCTGAACATGAGAAGAAAGTTACTCTCTCTTCCTTAGAGTGTCCCGTAGTGATACCTACAGCTCATCCAGTCCTGAGTGCAGCAAATCTCAGCTCACTAGTTGGCAGTGAAAACACTTCAAAGTTTCTTTTGGAGGTAATGCAGATATGTACATGCTAGACTTACGGTTCTCTCATACATTACTTCTGTATTATTTACTAAAATTTTGTTTACTTAGATAGCCACAAATATGAAGCTTAATTCAACATCAAAGTTGACAGGGGGAAATTGGCCCGTATCAGGAGGCATAGTAAATCAATTTGCTTCTCCTGAAGGTTATGTAATAGAGAGAATTTACATAGCTGGTTACATGGATGGATCTGTTCGAATCTGGGATGCCACTTCTCCAGTCTTATCAATCCTCTGCATTATAGGAGAGGTGAGTCACTACCAACTGTTTGTTCTTCCATGATAATTGAAATATTTGCTTAGTCAATAGGAAGCAATAAGTACACCGAAGAGTATGATTCTTGAATTATGTATATGATACAATTGACAGATCAAAGATGTGGACGTGACCGGTTCCACTGCTCCAATTTCAGAACTGAACTTCTGTTCCTTCACTTCAGGTTTAGCAGTTGGTAACCAACTTGGTTTGGTAAGGGATGCTTCTATAGTAATTACTTTTTTTAGAGTTTAGCAGTTAACCTTCCCTGACCTAGTTGCATAATCTTTTGAGCTTGTAGATCCGTGTATATAACCTCAATTCCAGCTGCAAAGAGACAAGTCTTCACATTGTCACTGGAATAAAACAAGAAGGTAAACTTGTAGATGAAAGTCTTCTTTAAGTGTGTACCATCCTTCATGACTAACGTTTTTCAACAGTTAGTTTAAGCATTTTACGCTTTGCATCAAGTTGGAGAAGTTTCTTTTCCATTCTGGTTCTACTCTTGGAAGTTCTATTATGTGAATATCTGAAATATACAAAACTTAAACATCTCAAATATTGAAGTATTGTTGGTGCAGGGCCTTTATAGTTTTTCAAAGATTTCCATCTGGAGCCCTTTTTTGATAATCTTAAATCAAGCTGAAAGCATAAGAAAATGTTATTGACAAAGTGGCATTATCTAAGAACATATATAACAAGAGGTACAATTTAATTTCTGTAGATTAAAGCTTGAAATGAAGTCTTGAATGCTCTAGGTGAGGTTGGTTAACAAATAGCTTTAAATGCTACTTCAAGTTGTCTGTTTGTGAATCGTTCTCAATTCATGGCAAAGTGATATACGAGAACTTATAATATACATAAGAGTAAGTACAAGTTAGACCTTAAAGTTTGTATGTTCACAAAATAGTCCCGGATAACACTGTGGCATGTCCTATATTAAGTGAATGACAAATTATTATTAAAATTTTTGCAACAAAATTGGTCAGTTCAAAAAAATTATTATATTTGTTAACTGAACCAAACGAACCTAGTATATCCCACCTGGGGGGGGGGTTCCAGGGAGGGTAAGATGTACGCAGACCTGACCTCTAACCAAAAGAGTATAGCGCCGGTTTCCCTCAAGACTCTCGGCTTGTGAAAAGTGTGATAGAGAGAAAGTCATTGATGATAAAGATTTGGAAAGGTAGTTAATAGCAAGTAAAAGCATACAAATAGAGACATGTACTAGGAAAATATAACCAATTTAAGTGAACTTCACACCACAAGTCTAACTTACCAACCCTATCTCCCACCCTCTACCTCTCCATCTCCCTACCTCTTGTCTACTCTTAACTACAGGTTCACCTTAGTTCGCGACCCTACTCCTACGTCTCCATGAGCTCCTATTAGAGGTCATGTCCTCAGAAATGCCTAAAGCCGCCATGTCTAACCTCAATTGCTCATCCCATGTCCTCCTCAGCCTACCCCTCCTCCTCACCCCCTTGACCGTCACTTTCTATCCCCTTGCTGGGGCCGCCATATGTCTCCTATAAACGTGACCAAACCATCGCAAACGCCCCTCCCTCAATTTATAAGCGGTAGGCACAACTCCCACTTCTATCTAGAGACCTCATTCGGCATTTTGTCCAACATGGTTCTACCATAGGTCCATCTAAACATCCTTGTTTCCGCAACTTCCATCTTCCGCTCATGTGCCTTCTTCATCGCCCAACACTCCGACCCGTACAACATAGGTGGTCTTTTTTAATAAAATTATTAAATATTTTTTAATATCTTCATCTTCATCTTATTTTCATCTTCACTTTTCATTATCATCAACTTCACCACCATAAACCACCTCCTACCCATCAGGTCACCACCACCACCACCCAATGCCATCATCACCACCATCACCAAGAAAATAATAAAACAAAATCCGCCAACCACCTGCACCAAAACCCATTGCTACTAACACCAGCACGAAAAACACATGCTTTTCTATTACGAACAAAATAAAAATCGAAGATAAATAACCAATTCGAAATAATGAAAATTAATGCATAGAAAACAAATCAAATTTCTAATACACATCTGATTTCTCAGATCCCTTCTCAACAACATACTCAACAATCACAAAAGTGTAATCTAAATCAAAATTCTAACTTTTGATTCGTCTTAAATTTTTTGTACTTTTTCATATTTTCATTAAGAAACAAAAAAGAACAAGGAATTTAACTATTTAAGATGAAAAGCGCTGAAAGGAAGAGATGGGTGACAGTGAGGTGTGACAATTTGGAGTTGGGGGTTGAACATATATGCTTCTGGGCAAAGAGTTAGCTTCTAATGGAAGCTTTTGGATATTATGATATATAAATAGCGTCAATATAGTAATGATATTCAATATCATCAACGGTATGTTTTTATTTTATTTTTGTTAAATTTCATCACACTAAAATTTGAAGGTATGTGTCATTGTAATGTTCTCTAATAATACATCATAGATGGATGAATTTTATTACGAGAATTTTGTTACCAGTTTACCCTTGTTAACAGTATCAGCGATCAACAATGGTTTCTCTGCAAAACTTTAAACTTGAGGGTCTACTTGTAACCTTTTGGCAACCGACCTATTCATGACAGTTGGGACATACCCCAGGGACAACCTTTTTGTAATTTACACTTGCATTGGAGTGCTTTTGTCTGCGTAGATCTTAAGCATATTTCATGAGAAAACTTCCTTAGATCCTCATCTCGAGGAACTCACACATTTAGTTTCTATTTATGCTCAAGTCCTTTGTTTGCAATCACAAGTTCCTTTATACTCATAAGAAAGTCGTCTGACCTGCTTCCAAGATGTCTTAAAACTTTTTCAAGTTTATATTGTTTAATTTCTCTTCAGTTCACAAACAACCTCAAGGTGGAGGGCCTAAGTGTAGTGCTTGTTTTCACCTTCTTGATTCCCCTGTTCAAGCACTTCAATATATGGACCATGGAGCTAAACTAGCTGTTGCACATGAATGTGGTCGTGTAAGTCTACAATGCTTGAACTTTCTGTTCAGATAAGATTACTGATCAACACTTCATGTAACAATGATACTTGGTCTGAAATGCCTTCATTGCAGGTTGCAGTGCTTGATATGAAGTTATTCTCTGTTTTGTTCCTAACCAACTGTTTACCTAACCCTAGCAGTCCAGTCATTTCCATGACCTGGAAATCATTTGTGTATAATGATGGTCATGTTAAAAGCCCCAAAGATTCAGGACGAAAGGATCTTGACAGACCTGCAGAGAGATTGATGATCATATCTACCAAAGATGCAAAATTATATGTATTCAATGGCGATGATAATCGCATGATCAACTCTAGACCAATACAATTGAAAAAGGATACAACGGTTATATCCATGCATGTTATAGGCAAGTATGACCATTCTAGAGAAAATACTACTACTCTATCCCATGAATTGTAACATTTTATCTTTTAAGAAACGTGGTCAGATTAACTTTGCATATATAACCCATTAGGGAGGTTTAGGGGAAAACCCCCCAAAAAAATAAAAAACTGAGGAACACCCTGGTGACCATTCATCTGGACGGTATGCACACGTGCATACAAGTAACTGAAGATGTTTCTTGGTTTTTAAGCACGTGCACATGTTATGCACATGTGCATACCGGACAAATTGCTTACAGATTACGTGTATGCACATATGTATAATGTGCAGATGAATGGTTACAGATTAACTTTGCATATATAACCCATTACGAATAAAGTTTGGTTATTGATTTTGGTCACATAATTTGTGTATTTTGTTTCTACCGAGGACGTTTTGGATGTTTGGCAAATAGTTGTAACATTTTAAAATTGTCCCAAGCCAAAAGTTGCAATTTTCAATGGACTGAAGAAGTATTCGTTCTTATATTTCAGATCTGGCCTACTTTATGGTATTCGTTTTACCAGCTGTGATAATTTTTTTGCAATATCATTTATATTCTTTCAGAGAGAGGTACTTCCATCGTCGAATCAGTGGACCAAAAGGAGTCACAGCAGTTGACCAACGATGCTGCAGCCAGAAGTGAACCTCTTATTGAAGTAGATAAACCGAAGATTGAACAACATTCTCAGCCTGAGAATATCAACTCGGTCCAGGGTGCAACAGATTCACTTATTTTACTTTGTTGCAAGGATGCACTGTGCTTATATCGTTTAAAATCTGTGCTTCAGGTGTGGCTACGGCCCTTTGGTTTTTCAACTTTTAATCTATTGTTTGCCTGGTGGTGAGCTAATGACTTCTGTTTTGCTAGGGGAATGAAAAACCTTTGTGTAAAGTAAAACTTGCGAAGCCTTGTTGTTGGACTTCAACTTTTAAAAAAGATGAAAAGACTTGCGGATTAGCGTTACTTTATCAGTCCGGAGAATTGGAATTCAGGTCTCTCTCTCTCTATCTCTCATGCATGCAAAAAGAAAATTTATGCTTGTATATCCAGTATGGTATGTTGACACCTGTCTTAATGCAGATCCTTGCCAGACCTAGAATCGGTGAAAGTAACCTCGTTAATGTCGATATTAAGGTGGAGTTTCAAGGCAAACATGGAGAGGACTATGACTTCTACAGAGAATGGGCAGATTGCCATGGTATTCTTCTTGATATATTAGAACCTTGGAATGTATTTTTAGTGCATAAACCGGTGCATTCTTCCAAGGGGAGCAAAGGGTTAGATTTTTTTCTTTATCTCTACTCTTTCTAGAAGAGAACCTAAAGGACATGGGTTTTTAAGTCATGGAAACAATCTCTGCAAATTGCAAGGGAAAGGCTGGACATAAAAACTACCCTCCACAACCCTTGAGCCAAGGACCCTTGGTACATCATGGGCGGTCTTTTTTCATCCCTACTTTTCTCTAATTAGATAGTAATCACGTGCAAATGCTAAAAATACCCCCTCCCCTCCCACACACACACAGTGAAATTTTTTGTGTTTTCCAATTTGCATGTGAGCCTCATACGATCATGTGTAGGTAATGACATGTCTTTTTGTAATTTTTTTTTCTTATGTAGACAAATGGGTCTGAAGTCGCATTTATCTCTCTACTGAATGTTGATGATGATTTCGGGTATTTTTATCTTTAGTCTGTGACACCATTCTTTCTCCAATTAAGATGCAAGCAGCCACTAATTCAAGATAATGATGATGTGGTTTCATTAATCACTGTAGGGTTCGAGAATCATTGCCTTCTCTTCACGATAAAGTGCTTGCAGCTGCTGTAGAAGCTGTGATTAGCAGTTCTCAAAAACAAAAGAAAAAGCTGGTTGAAACTCTCATATCATATTCCCGTCTAATAATTTGCTCATGCACCTATCTTACAGCTAACCATATAAGTTAAATTTTATGCGTGTATAAAACCTGATTGCGTAGGCTGTTGGGGATAACCGAGCAAAACATGAATCAGACACGTGTGTGTGCACACACATAGTCACACATAACATAGATATTTCCGTGATTCCCTCAATAGGGTTATGTCCTTGGGCAGGGGCAAATGAGTTTTCATTATATAGAGAAAACGTTACCAAATAGACAACATATAAGAAAAACGTGTCCTTAGCCCTAAAGCAGATAGAGGTACAGGGGACATTAGACATTGACAAAAACCTTTTAAGACTCCCAATACATATAATCTTGTGAAGACTGTGAACCCCTAGGGTGCATTTGGTACACAGGACATAACAGGATAGAACAAAAACCTATTGCCCGACATTTGGAACGACATAGACATTGACAAGATAGGACTGAGTTGGACAAAGATGCATTTCCCACTAAAATAGGTGGAACAAAAATCAGGGAGACGGGACAAAATAAATTATTATACTACCCATCTCATATTAAAAAATTGGGGATGGAAAAAAAGTAAAACAGGTCTTGCATTTGATTAGTGACACCACTAAAATGTTCATAATAATATTCTAATTTATCTTTGTTAATGCAGGGTGCCCCTGGAGTACTTGTTAATATGGTCAAAGGATTTAGAGCAGGAAAATCAAACAACGGAATCAACTTTCCTGATTATTTTGGATCAAGTTTCAGCAATCTGGACAAAATCTTTTCCAAGAATCCATTTCCGGATCCACTTGAAAGCATTACTAATGATCAGGATGATGTAGAACTTGATATAGGTAGTCTGGCTAGCTTCGGAATTATGCATGGTGCAACTCTCCTGTTTAAGTTTGTACCACAATTTTACTTAAATATATACGCATTGATGCAGATGACATTGAAATCGACGAACCTGTATCCGTGCCTACTTCATCACATACAAAACAAAACGAGGAAATTGGTACGCTTGGAAAATGATTATTCGGTCCATTCTTTTCTTTTTTGACCTCTGTTGGACAGATTTATATTTTACATCTTATGATGCAGGAAAGAGAACTGATCGGGAAAAACTATTTGATGGTGATAATTCTGATGTGACGCCCAGACTCAGGACACGTGAAGAGATCATTGCTACTTACAGAAAGGCTGGGGTAACTACTAGTCCCTCCATCCCAAAATAAGAGTCTACATTTCTATTTTAGTTTGTCCCAAAACAGATGTCCACTTTTAAAAATAAGTGTTTACTTTCTAATTCTACCCTTAATTATAAGGTGGAGAAATTCATTACTCTCTCTATTATTATGGGTAAAATTGTCATTTAGTTAATTAAAAAGTGTAATAAATTACACATTTTTAAAATCATATGTATTTTTAAATGTGGCTATAAAAATACTAAAAGTGGTAGGGTTATGAACGATGGTTGCCAACGGATATCTAACACATCATTTTATGACTTTCTTTCCAGGATGCTTCCTCGGTAGCTGGACAAGCAAGAAACAAGCTTTTAGAGCGCCAGGAGAAGCTTGAGGTAGGATCTCCATCACGTTTCCAGAATAAAAATTGCAATATTGGACTATGCACATGGTTTTATAGAAGTGACTGGCGTTATCAGTTAAACACCTAAAATTCCTTTCTTCCGATGAAAATAGCTCCAGTTGACTTCCCATATAGGTTATAGAACTGTTAGGACTATTAGTTAAATGCCTAAAATACCCTCAATCCTGAAAGGTAGGTTAGAATCTCTTAGACCAAAATCGACCCTATATATAACTTTTGAATTACACCAATGGGCAAATAGGTAATTTTACTATGATTAATTCCCAAAAGAGGGAAGTTGGGCACAACTGCACATGGATAAGTTGAGAGATGAAAGATTGTTGTCATTTGGTCACATTTGTGGGAGACAGATGGCAGCTCCAGTGAAGAGGGTAGAAAGTGTGAGGGTCGAGGGGGTGAAATAGGTCGAGGAGGATATGCGATGAGCAACTGATGTTAGACATGGTGGCTTTAGGCATTTCCAAGAACATGACCTCTGGTAGAGTTCTTGGAGACATTGGTTTTGGGTAGCAGACTATGGGTGGGAATCTGTAGCTAGCATAGACAAGAGGAAGGGGTCGAGAGGAAAATGGAGTGTGTAATTCTTGATTCTTCTTACCGTGGTTACGTTTTCTTGTTCATGCTTCTGTTCGTAACTTTATATGTTACGTTATGTTTATCTGAATTTTATTGCTTACTATTTTTTTACTATTTCTTCAATTTTTGAGCTTCTATTTTTCCACACTTTGCATAAGTCAGGGGTGTAATTGTAATCAACCATTCTACTATGTGAATTAGAGGTTAGGTAGGTCTGTGTATATCCCAATTCCCCCGGTCCCCACCCAATTCCCCTAGACCCCACCTCTGGTTGGGATATACTGGGCTTGTTTGGACTTTCCATATGGAGGGATGTGAGGTAATAGTAGAAATGTTGCCTCTCAAAATCATAACTTGCTTCTTTTGAAAGTGGATCACAAATCTTCACTTGCTAACAAATGCAAAATTGTGAGATTCATATAATTAACATTTCCTCACCTTCTCGTGTCAGAAAATCAGCAAAAGGACTCAAGATCTAAGCAATGAAGCAGAAGACTTTGCATCCTTAGCAAACGAGCTTGTAAAGGTAATGGAACGTAGAAAATGGTGGCAAATATGATTAATTTTTGCATCATATTTCTTCGTTCAAAGCATATGAAAATTCCTCGCCCGTATACGTAAACGACACATACAACACTATCTTCTCAGATTTCTGGACAAGTTTTATGATGCTTGTTTCAAGTATATATGTACTATACAAAGTTGGATTCCCCCACAAAATCTTGTCTTTTTAAGGTGGTGTTCATATAGAAAACAAAGTTTTGTGTTCATTTGAAGTGGACTACCACTAACTTGGTATATATTATTAAGTTTGGGATTTGTGAGAATAACAGTTATGGTAAGAAGAATCTGAGCCTTTGATGAGTTAATAACTTTTTGATCTAATTTGATTCCATAATGATGCAAAAAGAGTTCCATTTTGAAACGAAATTACATGACCCAATTCTTATTATTCTGTTACAACTTGGGTTGAAAAATGACCCAAGAATGAATTCGTTGATTGCAAACGTGGTCATTTACCTTCAAGTACTTTTAACTCGTGGTGGATCCATGATTTTTGCCAAGTAGGTGTGCCTTTAAAGTGGATCAAAGGCCTTTAAAGTTGACCGATGTGTTTTTAGCTGAATCCCACCGTATGGAGGGATTTAAAAAAAATTGGTTGATTTCAAGGGAAATTTTTTTTGTTTTTTGGTTGATTTTAATGGACTTATTCGGTTTTCTTAGTTGAGATCGAAAGACTTTTTTGGTTGGTTTCAGGGGATTTTGTTGTTGTTGATGTTTCCTGTATTTTGTAATATCCCGAAGCACCGTTCAAATTTTAGCAGGTGCACCTTTCATACCCAAAAAAGTTACTTGTGAAATTCTATAGAGCGGGTGCATGAGAGCCCGCTTGGGTATGAATATGTTCGTCTGCCATTAACTTTCTTTAATTACCTCCATCTGTCGTTATATTCATATTTATCTTCGTTTATATGAAGGTTTATTCTCATGTCCTAATCTTATTTTTAATGGAATCCAAACCTATATTATTAACATGGCTATTTAATATATTTGGTAACCATTATATTTAACTTCCAACTTCTAAATCAACCATTATAGTTGCTATTGTGGTTGGTTATAACTTGGAACTAATTTTTGAGTTTGAACCACCTTGAGTCGACTCGCGAACTATTAAGGTTCCGTTTTTCACACATTCAACGAGGTTTCACAAGGCTCGTTAAACAAAAACCTGTAAAACCAATGCTCGTCAAATACTACGTAGTTATAGGCTTCTAGAGAAGCCGAAAAACAAGCACATGATAGTTATGTGGATTTAGAGTTTTATAGATTTCTTCAAAATCGAAGATTTTCACCGTCCCTCTCTTCTTTTCTCTATTTTAACATAGCATTTAACATAGCTGTTGGCGCAAAAAATTCTATATATTCAAAATTTTCTATTTTAGCATAGTTGTTGAAGATGCTTTTAGCTTCTTTAGAGCGGAAAAATATATTTGGGGGATTTTTCTTAGTTCAACAGATCGTCCAAAACCCCTTCTAATTAAAAAGTGAAAGTGAAGTGTAATCAATGTTCGAATATTGAGAAGCTTCAAGACGACGATGGGTTGTGGGTACGAATGTCGACAGGCATTGTGATCTAGTCGTATCGTGTTTTGCAACCATATTCTCGGAAAGCAGCGGATCCCCTGAATTGATTACATAGAAGCTTACAGCCACAGACAACGATAAGCTAACGACACTCTTTAGTTTACTAAAGAAGAATTTCACATGGCAATCTTCCAAATACATCCTGATAAATCTCCGGGTTCAGATGGTTCTAACCCACGGTTTTTCCAAAAGTTTTGGCCCGTAAATGACACGATTATCACACTAATTCCCAAGTGCGATAAGTCGTCCTCCATGAGAGATCTTAGACCGTTTGCTCTTTGCAATGCCATTCTAAATATTTCTAAAGTGGGACGGGCTACGCTTAACATAGCTGCAGCACAAGTAATCCACGTCTACTATATGAGCGTTTTTATGCTACCTTCCTCTACGACTGCTGAGATCGAACGGATGTTGAACTTCTTTCGGTGGGGCTCTAAGAGGGACAGGTCTCATATGATAAATTGGCTTGCTTGGGATCGCCTTTGTGTTCCGAAGAAGTTTGGTGGGCTCAGCTACTGAAACTTTAATGCCATCGATGTTGCAATGTTTGGAAGCAAGGTTGGCGCCTCTTAGCCAACCCGGCATCGTTAGTTAGCAGAGTTCTCAAAGCTAAATATTACCCTCGGGGGTTGTTTATGGAGGCCCGAATGGGACACTCCCCTTGTTTTATCTGGCGAAGCATTTTCGCAATCCCAAATTGTCCTTAAAGAAGACTATAAATGGAAGGTTAGTACGTACTGGATCCGCCATTAATGTATGGCACGACCCTTGGCTTCGTGATGATTTTCATTTTTTTGGTTGAAACGCTCATTGACGACGCTACACGACACCTTCAGGTGAGTGATTTAATCTTACCTGATACCCACTCTTGGGACGTCGAAAAAGTGACTGAGTTGATCTCCCCTCGGGACCGAATTGCAATTCTTTATCATCTCCCCCTCTATGGTGTTGATCAAGGACAAATTGATTTGGCGTTGGCGTCCAACGGAATCTACTCTGTCAAGATACTGGGTGCTGACCGAGAGGGTCGATACGGACTCCCATTTTTCATTGAAGGTGATTGGTCTTGGATTTGGAAAGCTAGCATGCCTCATAAGGTTGGTCAGTTTATATGGAGAGCAACTCTAGATGCCCTTCCGACTCGAGTCAATTTGGTCGGAAGGCCCGAAGGATCTAGGCACCGTGGTTAGGAGAGCTGTGAATGTGCACTCATATTGGACTAAATTGGAGGAGCTACGTGACGGCCCTAAGTCTACTCCACCTCAGGCGGCTGCGACAACCATTGTCATTATCCGCCTGTTGGGTCCCTTAAGTGTAACACTCGCGTGACACTTTTCTTGACTTGAGGCAAAGGCGGGGATTGATATAGTGATCAGAGATGACTATGGTTCGTTGATTACAACTAGATCAAGCCCAGTTGATGGGATGCAGCCGTCCATGTCTTGGGCTTCAAGGTTCCATTGGGTTCATTTCGAAACCGATGCGAAGGTGGTTGTGGATGCGATAAACTCTTTAAATGAAGACCATTCAGAGTTTGGAGATATCATTGACCTATACGTACCATACTTGGTGACCACGACTTCTTCTTTGTCAGTGCTGTTATGAGACAAGCGAATGATGGGAAAAACGTGTCATAAGGGTAACAACAATGCGGAATAAACCTTTGTTGGACAGAATTTTCCCGACTTATATGAATATACGAGGATGCAAACAAATAAGTATACTAAATTCAATAATAATCAGCTGCTTAAATCAGAAATAAGCGACAAAAGTAGCACACACGTTAGCACACGGATTTTAGCATGGAAACCTCTCAAGGCGAGAGTAAAACCACGAGACCCTTAAGTCGCTTAAAGTCCAGTACCACCAATAAAAAATACAAAAGTCTTCTCTAGATAAAAACTAGAGTCAAGCAACAACTATCATACTCTTGGAACAAATCATCAAGAAGTATGGAATCAAACCCAAAAAAAGGGAGAAATATCACCCAGAAAAATGATGACTTCTAGACCTCCAAAACTGATATCCACCGTTTAGAATGTAGCTAAATATGTTGTGAAGCTACTATCCAAAAATCATGACGATCCAACAGTCCAAACTCCGGGAATAAACGAAACGACGCAGCTACACTTGCCCGAAAAATGCAGTCGAACTTCTCTCTTCTCTCTCACTTCTGTATTTTGTGAACTTTTTCTTCTCATACAGAAAACCTAGGATACAAGATTATATATCGCTTATATTGGCCATTATTATTGGGTCATTTATCTATTCCTTACGAGCCAAAAATAAATAAATAAAACCCAACAGCGAATGGGATGGCTCACGCTTTTGCTCAACTGTTCTGTTCACTGTCTTATCTTGTCTTGTTATGCTCTCTAATTTACTGCCTTTTGTTTCTCGTTGTATGAACGCTGTTTGATCTTTGGGAGCTCATTAATATATTTATGCGATCTATTATTAAAAAAATAAATATGTTTTATTATTTGTTAGTAGATGTTTACATAAGTTAGCATGTTAACACACGTTATTATATGTTACTTTTTTATGCTAAGATACGTTAATTTATTTTAATCTATGCTAATTTATGTTAACATTTTATTATAACGTTTCTATGTTTCTCACTAATTTTTTATTTATCACATGATCCTAATTCTTATGTTTTAATTACTCATGGGCTGTTTACCAAACACTTAACCGGTAAGTGCTTACCGACAAAATTTAACACTATCATTGACTTACCGGGTAAGATTTTAGTCTACCAAAACGGTATCATATGCAACAATTTACCCAGTAAACGCTTACCGTGGTAAGAGTCGTCGCCCTCACTTACCAGGTAAGACTCTTGGTCCTTGTATCGGGTAAGATTCTTAGTCCTTACCATATTCATTCGGTAAGGTAATGTGACTTGGTGTTCACTTGCCCGAGTAAGCATTTGATAAACGACCCCTTAATATGAGTAATGTTGTATGCACCGCTTTTATGTAAAAAATTATGCATAAAAAATTGTAAAAGTGAGTTTGATATTGATATACATGAGGAATAAATTAATAATTAGTCGATCGAAAATCGAATGTAACATTGTATCCATTTTAATGAACTCTTTTTCCACCATCCATTTTAAGCAAATTGTTTAATTAAATAAAAAGTTTGTGTTAGAGAGTTTAATATATGTTGGAATATTCATTATTTTTTTAAAGTATTTTCAACAGATTTTTTAAAATAAAAAAAGTGAAAGTCAAAATTTTTGAAGGAAATTCATGTCCCTCAGTAGCTTCTTCAATTTAGAGATTACAATTATTAAAATATTCAATATACTTCATAGAATAGGGAAATTAATAGAAATAACAATTTTCAGGGATCAAGTTCATTTCTTAACCATTTCTCTTCGGACTTTTCAAAAATATCACTATCTCCACAAGTGGTACCTCCATGAATTGCGAATGAGCTGAAAGACAAAAAAAAATTCACTTTTCACCCACTGCAGAGGTGCCACTTGCGGATTTGTATGAAAAGTGGATTTTTTTTCCGGTTTTCACCCACTTGCGAAGGTAATATTTGCGGACTTGGAGGGAAAATGGTTTTTTTGTCTATTAGTTGATTCACAAGTCATGACGGTGTCATTTGCGGAGATAATGAAATTTTGGAAATTTTCGATGAGAAATGGCTAAGAGATGAATTTGGTCTCTATAAATGAC